AAAAAAAAAAAAAAAAAAAAAGATTAGCCGAGCCTGGGAGGTTGAGGTGGAAGGATCACTTCAGCCCAGGAGGTGGATGTTGCAATGAGAGGTGACCACATCATAGCACTCCAGCCTGGACAACAGGCTGAGACCCTGTCTCAAAAAATATATATAACAGCCACAAAAAAAAAATTAGTTTCTCATGATTGCTTCCAACCTACTGTGGTATTTCATAGATTTCAGGTCTATTTCATAGAGTCTAAAACTTTTTTCCCCCACATTTTAAAATATTTGAAATTGGGATTTGTTTTACAACCAATGTTAACTTACTAATGCTATCCAACAGGCTACAGTCATAACCTAGGCTTTTCATTGCCCATGCATGCACAAATTTGGTCACAGATATTAATATTGTTGTTGCTGTTGTTGTTCTTGTTTTTGAGACAGAGTCTTGCTCTGTCGCCAGGTTGGAGCACAGTAGCGCAGTCTCAGTTCACTGCAACCTCCACCTCCTGGGTTCAAGCGATTCTTCCGCCTCAGCCTCTCAAGTAGCTGGGACTACAGGTGCATGCCAAATGCCTGGCTAATTTTTGTATTTTTAGTAGAGACGGGGTTTCACCATGTTGGCCAGGATGGTCTCGATCCCTTGACCTTGTGATCTACCCGCCTTGGCCTCCCAAAGTGCTGGGATAACAGGCATGAGCCACTGTGCCCAGCTATTGTTGTTATATCTATGTCTAGACTAAAACAGCCTCTTCAATAAGATTAAAATTCAAATTCTAAGTGATGAAAAGAACATATACTTTGATTAACTGTTTTTGTCTCTTAGTGGTATAATATAAGGCATTTTTAACTCAATGAAATACTTATTTTCTTTTTTTTTGAGATGGAGTTTAACTCTTGTTGCCCAGGCTGGAGTGCAATGGCACAACCTCCGTTCACTGCAATCTCCACCTCCCACGTTCAAGCAATTCTCCTGCCTCAGCCTCCTGAGTAGCTGGGATTACAGGTAGGCACCACCATGCCCAGCTAATTTTTTTATTTTTAGTAGAGACGGGGTTTCACCATGTTAGTCAGGCTAGTCTTGAATGCCTGACCTCAGGTGATCCACTAGCCTCGGCCTCCCAAAGGGCTCGGATTATAGCCGTGGGCCACCATGCCTGGCTTTCTTTTCCAGGAGACATTGTCTTACTTTGTTACCTAGGCTGGAGTACAATGGCATGATCACCACTCACTGCAGCCTCAACCTTCCAGGCTCAAACGATCCTCCCACCTTAGACCCCACCAAACAGCTGGAACTTACAGGCACATGCCAGCATGCAGGGCTAATTTTTTATTTTTGTAGAGATGGTATTGCCATGCTTCTCAGGCTGATCTTGAACTCCTGGTCTCAAGCAATCCACCTGCCTCAGCCTCTCAGTGTTAGGATTATAGGCAGGAGCCACTGCGCTCAGCCCTACTTAAAACCAATTCATTTTTTCCTAACTTTTCTTCCATATAACTTGAAACAGCGCCGGGCGCAGTGGCTCAAGCCTGTAATCCCAGCACTTTGGGAGGCCAAAGGGGGTGGATCATGAGGTCAAGAGATCGAGACCATCCTGGTCAACATGGTGAAACCCCGTCTCTACTAAAAATACAAAAAATCAGCTGGGCATGG